TATAGGCCTATCATTGAAAGAATAAATAAAAGTAACATTATAAACCAAATGTTAAAAACTTACGGCAAATCAACTGCACCAATGCAGAGTTCTGCAGACTCCACTTCTTTCCTCCTCTTCCTTCCCAACTAAATTCTCTCGCAAGCTCATTTTTGAATAGTCTTACAAGGATCCGTCTTGTTGAGTCCTCAACACTGGCCCCGCCAACCGTGCGAAGATAACTGACCTGAAACACATTATAAAAATGCTTAACTCTTCAACCTCTATTACTATTATATTAGTTTAACAAGTCTGGTGTTTTATAAAAAGCTTTTTTGTTTAAAAGTACCGTACGGTATGTTATTATTTTCAACAAGGATGGCAGAAAAGTTTAAGTTTACAAATCTGTTTGTAAGAAGCTTAGATTATAGGACCTTCATTTATAATAAACTAGTGTAGGCCTAGCCTACATGTTGCTCGAAATCGGGCAAATGCAAAGAAGTAAAGTAGTGTATTTGGGCCCAGCATTTAGAAAAAGAAACGTTCGAGATTCCATACATTATTTAGCACAACAAAATCAACAGTGGCGTAACAAATCTTTACGGGCCCCCCTGTAAACTTATTTTTTGGGCCCCCCTCTTATGAGTTAATTTTAGACCACCGATTCAACATAGTGAATCACCCTCCCCCTACCCCAGAGCTATTTTAGGACCACCGATACAATGATCAAACAGATTAATCATAAACAGAGTGGTACCCTAAACAAATTAGTCCGCCCCCCCCCCCCCCCCAGCTTCCGGGCACCCCGCAATGCGGGCCCTTCTGTTACGCCACTGAAAATCAACGGGCAAATTATATTTTATACACAGTTGACTGTGAGTTCAATTCTTAAGTTTTTTCCTTAGCAGGTTCAGTCCCAGCCGTCACACTCCTCTGTATTTTTAGGTTAAGTTATATCTACACTCGGGGGTAAGTTCAGGCCCGCGGTCAGTTATGTGATACGCTATGGGCCCAAGTCATAGTTCCGCTCATAGCCCCCCCCCCACCCTGCCGACATTGATTTGAATTATAAAATGAATATAGACATTTTATGAGTTGCTCGCGCATCTGCAATATAGGCCTAACAAATATAAGAAGACTCATTGTGTTTACTTTTGATTGTTAATTGAATTACCCGCTTAGTAACTAAAAACGTAAACCATCAATTAAAGTTTAACTGTTACTTACATACCGTACACACTTATATTTCCAATGGTGCGTTCTTAAAAGTAAAATTGGTTTAGTTGTAAAAAAGTGTGAATTAAAACATAGTTTTAATTTATATAAGTTATAATTGCAAACATTTAAAACTCCAAAAAGTCAATACCGTAAAATGGCTGGTTTTTTCTACATTTTTTTTGGCCAACTCGTCAATAACTTAACATCATCAAAGTTCATTTTCAGATTTACCTACATCACTATCTGTACACATCATCATTTAGGCCTAAATGATTTTAATGACCGTAAAAACTAGGCTACTTATTTTAGGAACTTTTTGTAACACTTTTACCGTACGAATCTTTTATGTCGCCCTCTTTCTAAACTCACTGCCACTTGGTTTTTTGCTCATTTCACAGAAAAAGGGTGTGATATTACAACGTAAAATAACATTCTTCAAACGTAAATAAAATCATAAGCAAAAACACGGCCAGTATCTTTACTTGCTAACAAATTGATACTGTAATAAGTTTCTCGCCATTTGACAAAAGCAACTGACATTGAGTATAATGAAAAAAGGACATAACAAATAGCCTACAAATAAAGACAGACAAGTAGGTATAGTTAATGATAGGCCTAATATGCAAACAGTGGCAGTGATGAGTCATGAGTGGAAGACGAAGTGAGGAGGTTTCAGATATTTTCCAATTAGTGTCTGTTACTAGCACACCCAAAAAAACAAAAAAAAAACTCTTGCGCCCCTGGACCAGGGCCCATTTTTAACCGCGGTACTGGGTAAGTTAAAACTTTCATCCCTAGATCTTAGAAAGACAGCTGTGATGTCATAACTTAGGCATATTTGATATACATTTTGATAGCGTTGTTACCCTTCAAAGTGCCATCTATAAATAAATCGTACCCTAGGCTATTATGTGCCAAGCCTTGATAAAAATTACTCTTGACTTATGCAAACTTTCGTTCAAAGTTTATTACTAAACGTAGGTAGCTGCGATTTTGTTTCATAAGTTAGACCTAAGTTAATCGTAAACAAAAAAAAAACATACCGGTAGCTAAACCTAACCTAACCATAACCTACTGATTGCAAATGCGGCACCTTAAGTTATTTGTTTGACATTTCCTTTCGATAGTTTTGAAGGACGTAACTTAGGCCTAATTATAAAGCTGCAGCCTTCTGGGGTTACAGTTCCGCAGAGAACCAGCGATCTTATTAAGTTATCAGATCTAACGATTTATCAATATTTTTATAAATATTAACATAGGCCTAGGCCTAAGTTTAGGCCTAGTTAACTTTAATATTGCATTGACTTTAATTTTCCCAGTTAACTTAGCTTATACATTAAGTTATAGGCCTAAGAGGATAACTTTATGTTTTCTTTTGTTGCTTTTTCATTAAATAGGTTAGGCTATATTTTGCTAGTAAGTTACCGTCTCAGGCTATATTTTGTTTGTGGTTAAATATGCTTATAGGCTAGTTAATATCGATAGAAACGTAGGCAAAACAAATCATAGGTCAATTTGATGTTTACATTGGGAAGAAGAATAAACATTTAATTTAACTTACCAAAGATATTTATCATTAAGTCATCCATCTGTTCACAGATCACAGGTTCTCTTCGGAACTGTAAGTTAAGTTACCCCCTTCTGGTCTTAAAATATTCATCTGCCTACAAGACTAGGCCTAGGCCTGAATTTTAACATAAACTTACCAATTAACATCATTTTTAGTCTTAACTGTAAGTTAGGCCTAGGCTAACTTATGACAGGTTCTAAGTAACTTAGGCATAAGTTTAGCTACGGTATTTGTTAAGTAGACCTAGGCCTAGCTTGTCTCCAAGCTAAATTAGTTCAGACCAAGGACATATTGCAATGAATTAGGTCTAGGTTATCTCCTGAATTTGGCTTCCTTAGTTTTGTAAACTACAGCCTAATTTTTCCCTAAAGAGCCTCCATCCGTAGAGTTTTTAAGGGGTTAGGAAGGCTAACTTAATTTGTAACCTATTTCCACTTATAAAGTATTTAAATTAGATTACCACCATTCGAGTTATTAACAAAACATATGCTAAATCTCTTAATAACTTACAATAACGATAATAATTTGTGTAACTTACCAACTCAAGTTAGTCGAATCGCCACTGAAGTTAAAAAGTCGAAGATGTAACGCAAATCTTAAAGAATATAAAGTAAAAAGTAACTAATAGACCTAATTAATAAGTAAATAATAACAAAACAACGAATTCTTCACGTGTAACACTGAAAATCAGAAGTAGATGCTCTAGTCTAAACACAGCCACAAGGACAACGTTTGTTGTGAGTTGTGAGACAAAGACAGACAAACAATATGGCGGTGGCGGATCGGATGCTCCCCCGCTGTTTTACTCCCATAATGCATCAGCGAACATCGTCGAACCTAAGAAAACGCAGAGACTTGGGTATCTCGCGCGGCAGAATATTTTGTTGATCTATGAATATTATAGTACAGTATGTGTTACAAATACATTTTACACAGGATGTTGAAAAAATGCAGGGAAATAAATACAACACTAAATTTTTTTTTCGTATTTTTCTATTGATATAAAATACATATATTATCTGTATCATCAATACCTTTACTTATTTTACTGCATTCTCGAAAGTTAATTTATGCCCTCAAAACAACATTTAGGTGAAAATTTACACTTTGTTTCTTCATTTTACAGTATTTTATGCAAAATTTATTTTGGATGAAACCGTATTTTCATATTGGTATATAATATGTATATTATCTGTATCATTAATACATATACGTTGGTTATACCTTAATCCCGAATATTTACGTATTATATACATTGCTTGCTACATGGGCAGACCAAGCGACGCAGTTGTGCGTCAGACATCTCTGAAGACCACTGCAGGGAATTCAGTGCCTTCAAATAGACTGTTACAAAGATTTTAATGTGACTAGCCGATGCGTATATGCGACGGCAGTCTATGGGTGGACAAGGATCGTTTTTACCATTCTTCGAAGCAATCTTAATTACGAATGGCAAAATGTTGTTGGTGTTGATATCAATTATCAATTATCAATTATCAATTATTTAAGATGGGGACGCCACTATGTGCGTATTTTAACCCAAATATGAGTGAAGGATGAGTGTAGGATGAGTGGCGCGTTCTTGTAGTCTTGTTAGTGACTAAGGCCGACATGTTCCTTAGACACAGCTGTTAATTAATAGCCCATACAGCTAATGGCAATGGAAAAAATGCAGGGAAATAAATACAACACTAAATTTTTTTTTCGTATTTTTCTATTGATGTTGAACACTGATAGTGAACTACTGTACTTAGAACAACTTTTTTGGGCTGTTTATACCAAATTATACATTCATTATGACAGCTAGCAAAAAATATCCCCCCAAAAAAGCCCCCTCCCCAAAATTCCTGTGGCGTAAACGCACCACAATAGGTCTGCCCCCCTTCTGGGCACCCCTGACTTGTACATATACTCTAAATAGTAGGTCTGATCACATCGACAATGTTTGTAAGAAACTAATAAAAGTCATATTTCTTTTAGTAAATATTAAGAAACAAGTAGGCCTAACAGATTTCTTAAGAATGGCCTGCATTCTGAGATATGGTCTTCTCTCATTGTCTGGGGTTCTAAAATCGAGTTGGAATGGAAAATGTATTACTCATTAGTCTGAAGTATTGTAAACTACTTTTCATCCAAGCTGATATCCTTACTGTTGTAAAGTACTACTCCATGTTAAAACTAATTTAAGTGAATTAATTTAAAGTGAGTTTTAATAAAATATTGTCTTTTACAGGGGAGAAAATAGATTTGAACAGGAAAAAAGAACTTCAATTTAAGAAAGATCAAGATCAAGAAAGATTATTAACCTAATCTCTGATTGTATTTAAAACAGCAGCTAACAAGATTAGGTTTTTACTACTTACACTAAAAGGCAAATTTAAGTAAGTAATTCACTATGTTAAACGAGTATAACTTTTATATGGCTGATGCAATATTAGTTAAAAACAACATAAAACATCTAAGCCATTCTTTAAGTAGGCTAATTTAATATGATTGAACAGAAAAAAGCAAAATGCCTTCAATTTAACACACATACAAATATTTAAGCAAGAGATATTTAAAGTTAATTGATATACACACTATAACTGTTAAACACTTAAAAGTCCTACAAAAATAGCATATTTTAATACACATACAAAGCCAACTGACTAGTTCCTATTATTTTCTGTTAGAAGTCAAAAATTGAAACTAAAACATGTCAAATATCACCAAAAAGCCTTCCCTTGAGTGTCCAATTTGTAGACAAATGTTTTCAACTCTATCCACAATGAAGTGTCATATATATTTACACACAGGTGAATCTCCCTTCAGATGTTTGACATGTGAGAAAACATTTATTCATCTACACCATGTAAAGTATCATGTCTTGACACATCCTGGGAAGTGTCCTTATAAGTGCACTACATGTGGAAAATCATTCAGATTTGAGGACAATATGAAGATTCATACATTGGTTCACACAGGAGAGCGACCTCATAAGTGCGCTATATGTGGAAAATCCTTTAAAAGTCAGGACCAAATGAAAATTCATACATTAGGACACACTGAAGAGCGACCTTATTTGTGTAGTATATGTGGGAAAGCCTTCAAAACAAATAGGAGTATGAAGATTCATACATTAGATCACACCGGAGAGCGACCTCATCTGTGTACTATATGTGGAAAATCCTTCAAAACCAGGAGCTGTATGAAGATTCATACATTGGTTCACACCGGAGAGCGACCTCATAAGTGTGCTATTTGTGGAAAATCCTTTACAACGATTAATCGAATAAGGAATCATATGTTGGTTCACACTGAAGAGCGACCTCATAAGTGTACTATATGTGGAAAATCCTTCAAAACTAGGAACAATATGAACACTCATACAGCGGTTCACACGGAAGAGCGACCTCATAAGTGTAGTATATGTGGAAAATCCTTCAAAACCATGAGCGGTATGAAGATTCATATTGGATCACACAGGAGAACGACCTCATAAGTGTGCTATATGTGGAAAATCCTTTAAAACCATGAGCAATATGAAGATTTATAAATAAATAAAAGGTTAAAATACCTGCTTGTCGCCTTGTGGTCCAAGTATTGTCCTAGTGGATTATGTACATTTCGGCGCGAGCGCCATCGTCGGATCCATATAAGAACTGTTTACACTAAACTTCCCTGAAGAGGTGCGTAAGATGTCCACAACACAAAACACATATAAAAACAAAAACCGGTCGACCGTTATTTAACATTTTTTACTTTTGCTACGCGTGCACGGGCAGGATATGGAGGCGCGCCAGACGTGTGTCGAGACTCGACTCTTGTTTTTATTTCATCAAAAGCTTGTCTCGACACACGTCTGGCGCGCCTCCATATTCTGCCCGTGCACGCGTAGCAAAAGTAAAAAATGTTAAATAACGGTCGACCAGTTTTTGTTTTTATATGTGTTTTGTGTTGTGGACATCTTACGCACCTCTTCAGGGAAGTTTAGTGTAAACAGTTCTTATATGGATCCGACGATGGCGCTCGCGCCGAAATGTACATAATCCACTAGGACAATACTTGGACCACAAGGCGACAAGCAGGTATTTTAACCTTTTATTTATTTGTCAATCAATTGGTCCGGAAACACCACAACAAAATATGATGAAGATTTATATATTGGATCACACAGGAGAGCGACCTCATAAGTGTGCTATATGTGGAAAATCCTTTACAACCATTCATCGAATAAGGAATTATATGTTGGTCTACCCTGGAGAGTGACCTCATAAGTGTGCTATATGTGGAAAACTCTTCAAAACCAAAACCGTTAAAGCGACATTCATTGATTCACACTGGAGTAAGTGTACTATTTTGTGGAAAACCCCTCAAAACCGAGGATAATATGAAGACTCATACATTAAAACAAAACACACAGGAGAGCGACCCTATAAGTGCACTATATATTGAAAATTGTTTAAATTAGAAGCATTATGAAGAAACATACATTAATACACTATGGATAGCGACCTTAAGTATAAACTATGTAGGAAATCCTATAAAAGTAACAAAAATATGAAGCAACATACACCAGAGAGTGACCTCAGTAGAAAATTCCTCACTGCCTACTGGAAAATAAAGAAACATACATTATTAGTTTAGTTCACACCGGAGAGCAACCTTATAAATGTTAATATATGCAGAAGGCACTTTGCATGCCAAAGCCATATAAACAAACATTCTTTGGTTCATATTAGAGAGTGATCCAAAAGTGGAGTGCATTCGGAAAATTCAGCTTTGATTATACGTTAATTTTAATTATTAAAGACCACTTAGCTAACGTGTAACTTAACTTTTCATTTGTAACTTTTTAAGAGCGGTTTAATTCAAGCTTTTGTCGTAGTTTCTAATTTGTTCCGCCGCTGAAATAAAATGCCTTTACAAAAACCATAACATAATTTTTTTTGAGGGACGAAAAATTGTAAAACTTATAAATATGCTTTATTAGTATGTTCTAAAAGCTATCAAAATTTCATGACGATTAGATCAGTAGTTTTTTTGTTATAAAATGTTAAAGTTGCCCGTTGTTGTAATAGCGCCGAAAAACCTGTACTTTTTTCATTCAACCCGCTAAAAGGCTGAGTTGAAACTGCATAAAAAATTTAAAACTAACAAACATAAACGCAGAAATAAATTTGTAAAAATATGATGTAACTTGTATTTTTCTAAGTCTACTGGTTACTTTTCTATAAAAGCTCAAACTCGAGTATCTATACTTTTTGACTTGACAGTAAGAATACAAATTCCATGTTGTTATAAAGGGTGACCGATAATAAACCGGACGTTTTTAAAATCAGCATAACTCATGAAAATTTGTGTCAATTATAACACTTATGTTTGTAAACTTTTGCCATTTAAGAAAACTATATACTAAACATAGTATGCTACGCTTGTCAGATATGCTTTACTTTTAGAAAATATCAAGTGTGGAGTCCACTTTCATTGATGCAGGTTTGAATTATTTTCCTAAACTGTGCCATTGGACGTCTCAGCATTTTTACAGCCACCAAAAATTGTTCCGCAACTTCCTGTTTAATTGTGTCCTTTAAGATTCATTAAGGGGAACACCTTGATGAAAAATTCATACACGCACAAATCTCGTGACGTTGGGGCAACAGAATACTATCACGGAAACGTAAAATAACCCTTCCTAGGAACCTAATACACTTCGGCCATTGAAACCTGAGTGAGTCGTATCAATGGCCAATAGTAGCATGTACGGTGGATCTTGTTTATAATAAACAAATGTATTTATTGTATTGTTTATCAAATGTCTCACCTGTGGCCTAAAGAAGTACTTGAGCACATTAACACTTACGTATTTAAAGCCTGCCAAGCCGTTTCAAAATGTAAAATATCATAATAGTTATTTTTCAGCCATACAGCTTCTTTTAGCCAATTTCTCTATAGGGAAATAGCTATTACCGTAGGTGGCACGGTAAGACCTAGACCCGGGACCGATGTACTTTTAGTTTCTCCCCCTATACAACTTTTTTGGGTTCAGGGTTCAGTGAAACCCAAAACGGATATATTCACTCAAAACTCAATCTCGACAATTTTGACTAAAACAATACTTTTTCCATATAGTCTCCTATGGTATAGGGGCAGATAGTAAAAAGTTCCTGCACTTTTGTGATAGGCATGGCATTTCATAATGGGCAAACGTAAGGTGTTTACTGTCCAATACTATATGGTTAATAAAATGGCATATGTATAGAATTGAATGACACACCTCCTTAGTGACAATAACTATCGCGCGCAAAGTATTCGCTTAAAAAACATCCAATTTGTCAGTCACCCTATACAAGGCTTGGTTGTATCTAGGAGGACTGGTTATTTATTTAGATAAATTGATATTCCATGGGTTTTTTACATACACTAGTGTACATGTTGCTCGAAATCGAGCAATTGCAAAGAAGTACAGGAGTTATTTATAAACAAATGACTTGTTTAAAAACTAATAACAGTCATAATTTCCGATGATTTTAAAAGAGTCGACTAAAAGATTATTAACTGATGGAAATACTCACAATTTACATACCAGTCCTATTCCAGTTTAAAGGGTTCTTTTTAACTATCAAACTGCTCATGGACGGGAAAAGGTAAGCTTACAATTTAAGTCAACATAAAAAAGCTGTCAGCTTTTATAATGTACCGTACCTAAGTTATTTAGCCAATTTGTAGACAATATGGTGTAGCCTACTTTAAACTCTATACAGAACAGAGTTAGGCAAAAACTGGCAGAGCTCTAAAATTGTGTTATTTATCATAGGCATACTCATATGCCAAATTCTTAAAAAAAAATCAATAATTAATAACTTATATCATAAACACAAACCAACATCCATAACTAAACACATTTTTTATACAACATAGATAATTATTTACACATTTACTGTTTACAATTAACATATGTTCTTATTCTCACTTTTAATTTTTGCTTCGCAACGGGAAAAATCGGTTTCATAATCATTGAAATAGATTCATAATAAATAATCTATCATCAAGTTTAAGATTAAATAAACCTACCACATAGTTGTTTTATTTTTATGGATCAGCTGTCTGAAATTGTGAAATAGGCATTTGGTACAGTTCTGGTTTGTTTACTTTTAAATGTCAAAGCAAATGTAAATATTGTGAATTTTCTCATGCTTCCATGGAGACCAATTACTAATATTTAATTTCTGACAACAGCTGGAGTTTCATAACAATGTTTGTTTCCCATGTTAATCTTATGGAGAAATACGAAACTTTAAAGGGCCCCAGGGCCTCACTCTCTAATTATTTATCTAAAAAGAAAGTTTCTTGCACAACTTCACGTTACGCTCTTTTCAATGACACCAAAAACGCGTCAATC